TACGTCACTGTTCCTTTGTCGCCGTCTTTCATGTGAAAGTTTTAGAATGGAAAAGTCTTTTAAAACTGCTTTCAAGAAAATTAAAGCATTAACGGTCGTCTCTAGGAGCGACCCCGGATCGTAGTTGGGTATCGTGGGAACGATACGGGGGCGTGACGAAGTCAACGCGAGGCGACGACGACGCGCGCGCGCCTCTCGTATCCCGCTTCCCGTCACAGCTTCGGATCCCGAGTCTCGAGGCCAACGCCGCCGCGCCACTAATTGCCAATTTGTTCGATCCTTAGATCTGACATAATGATGCGAGTTCGTTTATTTAAATGATTCGACGGGAACTTCTTGCGCCTTACAATATAACAGAGCCCACGACGTTTCATAAATAAATCAAGGGTTAATAGCCCATTCACAGGCGTTCCAAGGCCGAGAGATTTTTTGTAGTTAATTTGGCTTTACGTTTTATTAAAGTGTGTTGGTATGATTTTACAAACAATTTTACGACCGAGATTGTCGTCGAGTTACGTATGGATCGGCATAAACACATCAATTTATTAAGTAGGTAATGGAGCACTTATCATAAAGTTGTTTACAATAATCAATTCAACAAAATTAATGAGCACATAAAAGTTATTTACATTATTAAGATATTTCGGTTATTTTAATGGTAAGATTTAATGGAAAATGTTTATATCTATTTACAGTTTTAATGTGCTGAAAGAAATATGTGTGCCTAATTGAAAATACCTTAATGTTTTTGCAGTTCTCTTGCTATCAAGATCATGATACCAATTAGGTGTTTCTATTTACTTATTGTATGTCAGAATTGGAAATGACTAGGTACATGGTAGAGTATATTTATCGCGTTAGATAAGTCATTTCAGTTAATAATTTAATTTTCATTCTTCTGCCAATCATAAACTAACTAATGATAATTGTAAATTCTTTACTTTGTAAGTAATCTTATAATTTACAACCATGACTTGTCACTAGTACCTAATAAACATTTGCAAACAGTCTTTGAATTTATCCCCCTTCCAACTCTGTAGCAGATTGTGTATGCGGTTGGTATTATTGCTCAATTTAAATGCATTTGGCAACTAAAATAGTTAATCTCGGTTACTTTCTTGTATTGAAATTAACTCCTCCTACGGGACTGGAAAGAGTTAAGAGATTGACTGTCTCTCTAACTAAAAACATATAAAATAGAATAGTAAATAGCTAGTCTCTACCAGTTTAATTTTTACTTTAAAACTCACTACTTCGAATATGTCGTTACCTATTACCTATCTTCTTTTCCAAGTAGATAATTAAATTTTCTATTTTTTCAGTACCACTGTGGCAGGCATCAGAACTCTACCACATGTTTATGTATAGCAAGTGGTCCGACACGCATTGGCATTTTATTTAGTAGTAGTATAGTATAGTAGTAGTTGGTAAATAACAAAAGGTATTCTCTGCCATGCAACCATGGGTCAAGCAGAGATGTAAGACAGTAATGACATCTACGAGTTAGTATTTAGTCTTGTGGTGTATCCAAAAAAAAAAATTTCCTTCCGGTGACTTCACTTACCCAAAGTTGTTTGTGAAGCCGGCCATTATAAAAGTCGTACAAATGCAAGTGGCCGCAGCAGGCAGCGGCAAATCCCCGCTAATGTGTTTGATCATAACGGCGGCGTCTTTGTTTGCGTTTAATTACGAAAACGCCGCGAGATGGCGGTTATTAAGTCGCCCGATGGATTACTGTAGTTCCTGCTGTGAGCGGCCTTTTAGCTCTTGGTACTTATTTTATTTGACTTTAATTAATAAATCTTTCTTTGAATAATCATAATTTTATTATGTCTGCGTATGTGCGCGTTTTTAAACCATTTTGTAAATGGTTAACTACGATTTGAAGATTAAAGATTTGATTGAACTGAACATTTTAAAGTTCTGAATAATAGAAATACTTACCTACCAAACACAGCATAGGCAGAACTTTTTATTAAGTGAAGCTTTTCAGGTACCTACCTACTGTAGAGTTTTGAAGTAAGAACAAAGGTAGAGCTGACCAAAAACGCAACTTAAGATAAACTTGCACTTAAAATATGATAACACACCAAATCTTATGTACACCGTTCTATGTGCATATAAGTTTTAAATAAATAAAAAAAATCTTTTGATGGATATCACATTCATCACAGTTTAAAAGTAATCCTGGCCAAGTTGGGCGGCGTGCACACACCGTGAAAGTCGATTACCGTGGTCATTAGTCGCCAGTGCTCGCACTAATTAATACAACTGAATAAAGCCTCCGATGAGATTCCTACGGTGAGGAGAAAAATCGCAAAATTAATTAAAAAAGTTTAAGTGAGTTTTCACGGGCGAGCGTGCCTTGTGGCCCTCAATAACTCAGCCAAATTCTATTATTTCTGTAGCCGAATTCTTCGGGTACGCTTACAGGCTGTAATTAACCACTTTTAATCCAACCACTTTGTTTGTAACTACACATCTAATTATATAATGCCTTAAACTTTCTTAATTATTACGCCGTAAGGCTACAGTCACACTGTGCGTTTCATTTCAGACAGGCTGCAAGCGCTCGAATATGCTTTAGTTTTCTTTTATATTATGGCAATGCAACGTAAACGTGCCTCACTGTTTTTCAGTGACTGAGACTTCCAAATTTGTATTCCAAGTTGAACCTGATTATTTTTGAGATTCCTATGCTTCTAAGATTTTCATGTCCTTCATAACAAATTTGCTCTTCTTCGTTCATTAGTCAGGTACATTTCAATTAATATGTACTCTACCTGATCCTTCTTCGGAATATTTGTTGCATAAAATTTCGATTTATTACATAAATTTCCTTATTATTTATGTAAACTTTAATTGAGTAACTATTCATAATCCCCATGTAGAGGCATGCAATATGCAATTAGTCTCCATTATTATACCTAATGGATTTCCGTAGCGCAAACGTGCAACGAAATCATAATTAGTTTTCCAAACTTAATTTGAATAACATGTAAAAACTTCGTTACTTATAACAATTTGAGCAAAAAGGCGAACACGTCACGTGGCGTGTTAGTCACTGCAGGGTACGTGTACTCAAAAACGAGCACACATTTTTGTGAGCTCATTAAAATTACATTACAACTCTTATTTAAACAGCAAACAACTAAACGACGATCGTTAATGCGTCTCGGCGGCGAGAATTTTATGGACATTCTCATCCTTTGCACACTAAAACGAAGACAAGAAATAAAAACTGGCTACTTAGCCGACAAATAAAGTGCTTTTTTATTTATTATGCGCTTAATAAATGGACTAGAACACATTGTGGGTGTGTTCTCTGAACATGTGTTGGAAATGTGTAACCATTTTATGACAAGTGCGTAGTTTCATAATTAATACTCATTTATGTGTAAATTGTTTTAATGTCAAACGTGACCATATGCACGAATTTACTGAGAAAATACTACCTACTTACGACACTTACTTGCCTTAAATTAATGTATTAGGTACTTAGTATCTGAACAAACTGCTTTTACAAGTTGGAAAAAACTAGTTAAAAAGTCTTTTACCATTAAAATAATAATGTGAAAGGAAAATGGCGTACCCACAATTTACAATGATCATCGCCGGTTCACTTTTTGTTTGTCTTCATAAGTAATGTATTTTTAAACGTTTTAAAAAGACGCGTCGTCGTGTCTCGAGGCGTTCGCGCACCAATTAGCGTTGTAAGGAACTCCAATATAATTATAGATACAGTCAACAGCAGAACTGACTGTTTTTGTTGCAAAACAGTATATTATGTTACAATCTCATAAGATGTCAGAGTATTTGAGTATTAGCTTGATGTGCTGACGTCTGTAAATTGGCAAAATCTCAATTTCATTCTTAAGCGCAATACACACCGGCCGCCGACAAAGCCCGGCGGCTTCTCCTCCATGTCGGCAACATGCGCCCGCGCGTGTTACCCGCCGACATGTTGGCGGCTTGGGTACGCCTGCGCTCAGTTGCCCGGCGACGCTCGACCTGTAGTGACGTGCTTGTATGCTGACTGCCAAATACATTTCTCATCTCAAGCCGCCGACATGCCGCCGACCAAATTTTCCGACTTGTAATAAGTGAAGCCGCCAACTAGACCGCCGACAAAAAGTTGCCGACATAATATGTCGGCGGCCCGGCGGGCTCAAAGTGTATTGCGCTTTAAATGTATGGTAGAGTTACACATACTATGCATTTCTGTGCTTGTCTCTTGTCGAAAATCCCAAATATCTCCATCCTCGACGTGAGAATTGCTTTAAGTGCTTTTTGCAAATGGATCTGTTTATTTGATCGGCAATTAAGTAAGGCGTGTATTAAGATAAGGTAAGCCGTGCATGCCTACTTGAATTTGTAATATTTGTTTTTAATACGTATTATTAAATAAGTATATGTAGGCACTTGTTAAGTTAAAACAAGTTAGGCATTTTGAATAAATTATTTTATTGCCAATACGAGTAAACATCCGCTTTTTTGTATAACAAGATAGAATGAGTATTATTTTTTAAGATTCAGTTAAGCCGGTATTTGTAAACTGAAAAAATTGGCCAAGTGCGTGTCGTGGCACGCGCAGTGTAGAGTTCCCTAGTTGTCCGTCGTTAACACAATACATTTCAGAAGCAAGCAATTGCTTTATCTAAAGTCACTTAATATTTTCTTCTTAGGAATTTTTACGAGTTAAGAAATTTTATAATACATGAGTTAAATGACTATTACTCTTAAACTAACTGATGAATTTTAACCGTTATAGTATAAGGGTTCCTTGTCAAGACTACGGAACCCTAAAAAGGGAAATGAAGAAAAATTGAAGAAAGATGGCTAAACTTTCTAAATTACTTCATTATTAATCACCTCACCAACTCTCCGTCAATAAAACACAATAATATAATCATTTAAATAAATATATTTATTTACATAGTAACGCGAAATGAAATATTATTTTGTCGATGTTCATGAAAATCCGAATTATTTTATTTGACATCTTAACTGCATGTATTTAGACGATGACATAATTATTCTAGCTGATATTTCTAACAAACGACAGTTCAATTTTTTTACATAAATACATCTTTTATCGTAGAAATCTTTATTTTACATTATTTATTTTATCTTAAAAACTTTAGCGTTTACCTACAGGGTCACTTGCTCAAAGAATCAACATAACATATTATAGCGAATTCAAAAATATTTAATTTACAGATATTATCACGCGATCAACATTCACTGAAGCTGCGGCAAAAACAATCATACAAAATGTCTTAAACAGTTTTTAACTTTACACAGAGGTAGCACTAACTAACCATCGCACCACTCTGAATACCAGATTATATCACTAAAACCTACATAAATCGTAGCTCATTTGCATTTTATTAATCATAAAAAATCCTTTTAACGGAAACTTATCTTTGGTAAAAAATAACATTAATATACTTAACCAATCAATAAAGAAATAATAAGAAAGAAAATCATCCTCAAAAACTTCATACCTTGTATGATAACAATATTAGTTTTCTAAATGTACACACTCCATAACAATGAGATCGATTTTATTATCATTATTATTTTAGTGTCTGGACCTGAATCGTTGTATGATGAGAATTCGTTACCTATATGATCATTACTCGGAAAAGTTTCGATTGTAGAGACGCGTACGCGTCTGGTCGAAGAAAACTCTTAAGAGTATGGGTATGAAATTGAAAATTAATGAACACACCTGGAAAATGCATGAGCGAATATTGGTTTAAAGATTATTACTGAAGAATACGGGGCGTGGCTAATGTGGCTAAGCGCAAGATGTGGCGAGAGCGCGTCCTCTACCCACGCGCGCTATCTTAACATGTAAACAAGAGCTCAAATCGTATACATAATGGAAATATCGTGTTCTGACAACGTTATCGCGACTCATCCCGGACACTTTGTAAAGTGGCCACATATCCATGGCCCGCCTTCTAGCCTAATGTACTCTCGTGCGACGCTTATAAAATATGTTCAGCGAGCGAGACGCTTCGATGTTTTGCACTTAGCCGGTTTTGCACTAAATATTGTGTTATTATTAACATCGATTATACAGTGTGAGTCACGTTAAAGTGTACATATGAAAATAGATGAAACTAGACCTATTTTTATCGACAAAAAAGAGGTCAAAAAATTTTTGAGATTTTTTTTTATTTTTTTATAGAATTTTTTTTCTTCCAATTACTTATTGTAAAGAAAACGTAATAACTTTTAAACTAAGCGGTATATCCTGATAAAATAAAAACAGTAATAATGCTAAATAACAGGCGATACTAAAAAAATACATAAAATACACAAAAAAGGCCAACAAATAATAAAAAATGATACTTTTTGTGAAAAAATTTGCTTTTAAATTCGTGTTTTTTTGGTTATTTGATAAATTTCTCCAAAAAATGCCCCTATAACCGGTAATTTTTATCACTTTGTATTATTCTCTATCGTGTTACCTTCGTAAAACCAAAAATCGCATGTCTCTATCCCTATTACAACGTTTGCAATGATCGTTTGAACTAAGCCTCTCCGGGCGCGCCATTCAACGCTTCGTTAACAACGAAACTGAAAATGGCTCTAGATTTGTAATTTTGATAAAGACAAGTCAGATTTCAAATAAAAACAAAAGATTTCGAAGTAAAATAAGCATTTTAGTCAAAATTAAAATTGTCTCTACCTGTAGCGGAGAAAAATGTTGTGGCAGGCCTTTGTTCAAACGATCATAGCAAATGTTGTGATAGGGATAGAGACATGCGATTTTTGGTTTTACAAAGATAATACGATAGAGAATAATACAAAGTAATAAAAACCACCTGTTATAGGGGCATTTTTTTAAGAAATTTAACAAATAACCAAAAAAACATGGATTTAAAAGCAGATTTTTTTCAAAAAGTATCATTTTTTATTATTTGTTGGCCTTTTTTGTGTATTTTATGTATTTTTTTAGTATCGCCTGTTATTTAGCATTATTACTGTTTTTATTTTATCAGGATATACCGCTTAGTTTAAAAGTTATTACGTTTTCCTTACAATAAGTAATCGGAAGAAAAAAAAATCGATAAAAAATTAAAAAAAAATCTCAAAAATTTTCTGACCTCTTTTTTGTCGATAAAAATAAGTCTAGTTTCATCTATTTTCATATGTACACTTTAACGTGACTCACACTGTATTTTCCAACTTTGAAGTGAGTTGTGAAACGATAAAAAATAAAGCCTTATTATAACTATTTATAGATGATTGTTGTCGGTGATGGCTAGTTTTTGAAGATGGGACGCCGGACTACTGCGCGTAGAGACGATCGTCGGTTGTCAGAAGTGCGTCCCGCTGCGGAACAGTCTGCGCGCGGCCTTAGTGACTCCGATACTCAGTGGGGTTTCACCTGAGGCAAAACAGACGATTATTAACTCAATGAACGTATATCCTCCTTGACCACATAAATTACATGGCGTAAATAATCTGTAATTAGGAATTAAATGGATATACAATTGATGATGACATGGATGTTATATTCACACTGGCGCACCACACAGCTATGTATTACACACTAGCTAGACACAGAAATACTATCTATGTATGTGAGATGCAGATCAAGGAGCTCTTGACCAGCACCTCACCTCATTGTAGATAAAAAAAATGTAGAGATCGCAGGTTCGATTCCCGCTTAATGCACGGGCGCCCCGCCCCCGTCGCTACACGCTACGTAGCCTCAGTCCTTATACCCACGCCTTCGTAGCTGCTTTCTCGCTACGCAACCTCAGCTTGTTGACATAAGGTAACTAACCGAGGTGAGAAGTCGGGCGCGGCATCGTCGGTCATCGCGCAGCATCGCACACGTCGGGGTCGGGCGGGCTGCCGTAGCCGCTGGACGCATCGTCGGCGCCCGCAGTTGCCGCCGTCTTTGTCGAGGGCCGCCCCCGTCCGTAGCTCTCGCTACTACGCAGCTACGTAGCCTCCGCTTAGTGACATAAAGGTAACTAAAACTAACCGAGGCGAGAAGTCGGCGCGGCATCGTCGGTCATCGCGCAGCATCGCACACGTCGGGGTCGGGCGGGCTGCCGTAGCCGCTGGACGCGTCGTCGGCGCCCGCGCAGTTGCCGTGTCCTTATCCCCACGCCTTTGTAGCTGCTCGCTCGCTACCTAATTGCTGCTTGAGTACATTAAAAGTACTAACCGAGGCGAGAAGTCGGCGCGGCATCGTCGGTCATCGCGCAGCATCGCACACGTCGGGGTCGGGCGGGCTGCCGTAGCCGCTGGACGCGTCGTCGGCGCCCGCGCAGTTGCCGCCGTCCTTGTCGAGGGCCGCGGCCGGCGCCCCCGCCCCGCAGCCGCCCGCTACGTAGCCGCCGCTTGGTGACTGGGCAACAAACATAGAACGTGTAATTGAAATAACAGACAAACACTGATTTTTATCTATTCTTTTTTCAGGACTCCAAAGACAACGCGACTATGATTGAAGTATGAACGAGCATTGCGTCGTTGCTTAGTTTAGACTAGGGCACATCTGCACAATCATTTAAATTACAAATCAAATATAAACTTCTATCAACTCCTATGATATCAAATATCTAAAATATGGACGCTGACAAGTAACGGTTGACTGTGTGATTGTAACTACTTTTCTAGTAGACACCCTTGCAGAAGGCAAAACAACGGAGTCACCAACCAAATCCTCTCATAAATATAAGATTCATCTCATTCAGTTGCAACTATTTACTTGAAGCTGCATGGCTATCCACTACTCCGTGACTAAAATCTGTCGTATCTTCTTGACAAGTTACCAACAGTACACGGAGAGCGCAATCAAAAAGTCGATTAGAAATGTCGTGCGGCTGAATGGGTTTCCTCCACTCGCGCGACTCATAAAATGAAATAGATTCCCCCACATTCGCATTCCGACAAGCGTTCGTACGAGAAAGATTAATGATCACAAAAGAAACATAATAAAGTGAAGATAGAATCTCCCACTAACAGTGTCCTTGTGGGAGTTATTTACTCCACCGAACCGACTTTTTCACGTGCCCTTTATTTGAGATGGGGATCTTCAGAAAAAAGTCTATCCCCTAAAAGAATATAAAAGCGACGTGCACCATTTTCTTCAAAAAATATGTGCTGGTAAACAAAATAATTACCTACAACCCAAATCAATTTCCTTACAAGTTACTAATAACATATCATTTCAATAAGTAGTGGTATTGTCGTTTCATTGTCGGTTAACGGTTATTAAGTAAATTATAAATGACGGCGAGAGGCCGAACTGAACAAGCTTTTATGGCTTTTTCCGCCGAACACGATACGCCACGTCAGAGGTTCACACGCATGTGGAGACGCTGTCACGTGTAGCAAATTACAAAGAATGACAATTACAAAGCCTCGATATATTTAAAGACGCGACGGAATATGAAGGCACGTCAGAAATAACATCTGCAGCGACGCCCACTTTAACATGCCATGGCATGGATAAAAGGGGTCAATCAATAGGTCAAATTGTTGCTATTCAGAGACTCTATTCATATGTAATCAGGGCAGTCTAGACAGGCATTGAAGATGCTATTCAGAAATATTCACCTGTAGTCCGCTGACCTGCCGCCGGATGTGCGCTAAGCCGCTGGGATTGGCCGCCATGCTGGCGAACACGAGCCGCTCCTCGTAGTCGTACTCGCACAGTATCTTGTTGTCGCACAGGTAGAATCTGTCGCCCACGCAGAACCTGCACGAACAACGGCTATTAATATTTACGACCCCGGCGCACCACGTTACGTGTTCCACTGCAAAAACAACTCCACCATAAATATCTACTAACGAGAAAAATATTCATTAAGCATTAAAAAGCGAGTCGAAAATTCGAAATTACCTGTGGTTGCATTGTTGACAGGCGAAGCATTCTAAGTGGTAAACGAAACTCTTGGCTCGCATAACCATTTCGAAGGCGGGAATGACTTTGTTGCACGCCACACAGTTGCCTGTGGCACCGAATAACCTGATGAAAAATAACAGGCTCTTAATGTAAAATACATCTTATAAATAACGAGGTCCTTTATAACGCGCGTTATTACTTTAAGTGATTCAAGCAGCTAAAAAATTATGGTTTGAACAACATGTGAAATTGAAAAAGGCTGCTCTACATTATTACGTGTTGAAAAAGAGAAAAAACATTATAACGGATATGATTGAAGACTACGAAAATTAAATGTGAGATAATAACCGAGTAAAGGTTTTATTGTAAAACAAAAAAATTGCAAAACACAAAGGTGTTTACCTAAGGTAGTCCCTTTTGCAGAGCATAAGGTCAGCCTTGTAGTAGAGCTTGGAGCCGACCTCGCCGAGGCGGCAGTCGCAGCAGCCGCACTTGAGGCAGTCTTCGTGCCAGAAGCGCTCCATGGCCTTGAGCAGGAACCGCTCGGTGATGACCTTGCCGCACTGGGCGCAGAGCCTGGCGCCGCCCGTGTTGCCCACCACGCTACTGCTGAGGCTGTATTTGTTCTCATCTTGCTGACCTGGTGGGAGATATAACAAATTACTAATACTCCCGTTAACCCCTCGTTAAATATGCTTGTGTCACGAGTGAGCTCACCACAATAGTCGAGCGGCGGCGGGGACCGAACCCGCATTCCCCGGATCACGAGTCGGCCAGTCCGACCCCTGCACCGTTCGGCTATCGTGGCTTCAAAATATGGGTTAGTAGGCGAATATCACAGTAGACAGCAGCTTTGGGAACGAGAGGTGGGAAAAGTCCCATTTTATAGTAGGTAGAGCCATGGGCTAATATACATATTAGAGCTATCTGCGTGATTCTATGCCTCTATTTGCAGGTCATCATCATCTGACCTAAGCGACCTGATGAAGACCATCAGGTCACTTCGTCTTCTCTGCAGGAGGACGAAATTTCTAATTTACCAGAGGCAAAACCCACGCTTTACAGGTCAGTGATGTTAATTACTTAAAGAAAATTGTTGGGGGATGTTTTTGTCCCAATGTTTTTCACGGTGCTTATAAGCACGGCAATCCTGTGAATGATATAAAATCATTCACAGGATATGATATAAATATCATTCACAGGATTGCCACTTTTCTAAATCAAGTAAAATACAATTCAAAACTTGAAAATTCGATTTCACCATCTGCTTTGAAAGGAAATACTTTCCTCGTTTTACTGCTTGCCAAATTCGGAGACGTCTATTAGGAGTCGTTATGAAAATGAACCTTGAACGAATAAAAGTTAACTTGTTTATCTACATCTCCATCTGGTGCGTAAAATGATCGATAATATCAAGCTGCCGTTGTAAAATTTTATTTCGTCAGTACTAGTAATTATGTATGTAAACGCAAAATGGTAACGACTTGTCGTTCACAGAAAATGTAAATTTCAGTTTCTCAGAACGATTATTATAAACTGTCAAATCGTTCAAGTAATAAAGTCATAATTTTGTTCGTCGAAATATCTCGTTAATTTCGTTTTCGTTGAAAGCGAGTTGTGCAGTAACTCCAATCAGAAGAATTTCCCGCGCCCAGTACGAACGGTACCAATAATATCAGCACGGTAATTAGGAGACCGCGGCGGAGTGCTGCCCGCGGCGTTATGTAAGTAGGTAATGCGGGTAATAACCGTAATGAATATCTTAAGACACGTTCTTTCCGAACCCTATTATTAGCAAGTTTACCACAAGCATAATTAATATGAACTACCTTTACTATAACATAATTAACACCAGCGTATAATCACAAAGCTGTATTTTGTCTCTAGGACATAATAACGCAAGGAGTAAGTAATTTGAACTGACGAAGGTGGTTAATTTAAAGCATGGACGTAGTAATGAATTCTGTTACGCTACATACAAATGGGTATTTGTTCGTAATACGCGACTCATTGTGGAATTAAGTTAGACTTGATTGTTTTCTACTGCATAATTGCGTCAATTAATTCGAGCAGAGCCACGCCGCGTGACACGCAGTCACCGCTCGCTGACGTCATTAAGATGCGCAAACGCATTTTTCTCACACAAGAAAAAGCGCAACTTTGTTCGAATACATGCGTTAATGGGACGATAAAATTATACAACGCATAAGCTGCTGCTAGTACGTCTAATGAAGATTGTAAATTTTTCTACATACGCTAATCATATGTAATTTAGTTTAATACACGTCTGTTTTTTCATGAATTATTAAACAGCGAACGCAATGCATCCTGTCTTATAATATTACTGCCGTGTGTATACATTTATTATACATCACCTCAGTACACAATAGGCATATTACGCCATGTTTTATTTTTCAATAGTTTCTATAATATACCTAGTCACGGAACATTAAGAACTCGTACAATATTATGCAAATATACAAAGTAAATACAAACTACACTGTGTGATCATCGCTTACAAAGGAACTTCAATTTGGAGCGACTAGTACACGTTCGTATAAGCAAATAGACCGCTCTTTAGAAAACAATCAGGTCCAATTTATTGGCACACGGCCCATATAATAATAGTGCGTACGTCAAACCAATCAAGGAACCAATTGAAGGGGTAACTAGGTGGACACACCGAGCGCAATCGATCACTTGCGCATCGGCCAGTCGCCGACGCCGATACATCTCGTTTATTGGAGCCGACGTCGCGACAATAAACTTAATTGGACTATATTAATGACGGCTCGTTAATAATAAAATAATAAAGATGACGTATGGCGTCCGGGCGTCGCAATTAGTGCGCTGCAGGGCTCTAACAAGGCCGCCCACGCGCGACCCCTAGAGCCGAATTACCGCGCGGACCCACAATAAATTGCACTAAACGATTACTATCATTAATGTATCTCCTTTCACGGCACGTATTGACTAATTTACTACCTATTTTATAGAACGAATTAACCCCGCTCGACTCCTACCCACTTCGGGTGGAGCGATAAAAATGGTAATTGAATAATAACTGCTAACTCGAAGTCCGATACGTTAACGCGAAACTTTGAAAGTTAATCAATTCACTGCGGTTTTCCTTAAAATTCTTGGAACGTATGCATAGGTGCGGTAAGTTTCTTCGGGATAAAAAATGCCGGCGGTCTACCCGCAACAATCCAAGAATCTCCGTGTTTTTCCGCGGAATGCCGCATGAAGGCGACGCTGAGGCGTGCGTTTACTGGCGTGTTTTGTCCATTTCAGGACGTGCATGTTGTTAATGCTATAATTATGGAGCGGGCGCGCGTCTTTCTAATGGCCGGATCGATTATATCGATTCACAGAGCTGCTGCGCCGCGGCAGCGCCTGCGACTCTACGCGTTTATGGTTTCTCGCAATTTTACAAGAGACGAACATTAACGCTTTTACGGCCATAAAAACAAAAACGAACCGTATGCTACTGCTTCATCTATACGTACCTGAAAGCTAAAACAATAAAAGGGGAGTTAATAACGTGGGACTGTACATAAATATCCGGGTGAAGGCGCTTCGTATTATTTTCGTTTTATTACAGTCGAGCCGAGAATTTGATAGAGACTTGGCTACCGAACTGACCCGGCAGTATAATTTCGCCGACACAGCCGGTCGGCTGCCGCCAACGTATTAAGGCGCCGAAATGAAAAGAAACCGGGAAACGGATGAAAAGTAATTTATTTTGTCGTAAGACTGACTGGGTGCACGTTAGTACTGCGGCAAACGCGAAACACCAAGCGTTAACGCTTCGTAGCTCGTCACTTGCACCACACTAAGTTAAAATTAATTTTCTAATTTCACCGCAAAATTACTCCTAAACACTGGGATCTAATTGGAATCTGTAATGGCCTTTTGTTCCGAAAATCCTTTCTTAGCGCGCAAACTCATTTCCGAGTTGCGGGTGCCGTGTGGAGAGCCGCTAGCCTGCTGTACACGTAACTTAGACTCGCCAGCGCTTACGATTTATTATTAACACGGGTACTTTAGTTCGCCGTTGATTAACCCAACTTCACTCACACGATATGAAGTTGTAATTAATAATGACTTTCTAACGAACGCTGTTTCCATAATAAGATTATTATGTTCGTCCTTTTACTGCTGCGTGTACGCATCGTGTAGATTTTTAGTTTTGTCTTTTTTAATCAATTGGATAAGATTTAATTAATCTCTTGTTGTTAATGATATGATAACATATGATTTTGGTTTACGTCGTTACGTCAAAACATTATTCAAAGGAGGAATTGATTGAATGACAAAGATAGGTAGGTAGGTAGAGCATTTTTTTTTTGGTTCAGCATTAGACGTCAATGCCTATTACTCGTACAAACTTTAAGCTTAACCCCTGACCTGACCTGAACCAAGTAAAAAAAATGTATTTTGTGAAACAATAATCAATATTTGCCTATTATCTGCTTTGCTCTGACTGCGCCGAGTATGTAAACACCAATGAGGATTGACGTCAAACCCCAGAATACTAGTGCCGTCAAACAGAGATGTATGTGTGCGGTGTGCGTACGCAGGTTACATTCCTGTGATTCAATTAAATGCTAGGTTATTGTAATGAGCCCGCATGCGGCCGCCCGCGATCGTTCCGTGCAATTTACAAACGTTCATTGCATTTCGCAATTAACTCGCCCTCCACATATGCTAACACAACGTGTCTGCATTGACTATTCATCATTCGGCTTACTATTTGCATGACTATATCGGTTTTATTAATAAATGAATAGATAACCGCCTTTATTAATAAAATTAACAACGCGCCTGAACGCGATCGACATAATTGCTTTTCTTTACAAGTTTTAATGAGCTCATTTAACCACGTTATAAAACAAATAAAATAATTTTGAGATGTATTATTTTGAGTTGAACATATTTTTGTTTTAATAGGTTGAGAGAAAATATCATTAGTGTTTTATTAATTATGCTGACGAAAATGTTAACTTATTTGAATTATTTTTGTCACGCGGCTACGTTATTTAGATGTCTAGAATAACATGCGAGCGTTGTTTTAATTAGGTAATTTAAATGTTTTCCTCGAGGTATAAGTTAGTTATGTGAGGCAAACTATTTACAAATTTGTTACGAAAATAAAATATCATACGGCACAATCTAAAGTGCTATACCTACTAATGGATTTGTATAATGATTGCGGTTGCAGCCGTTCTAAATGCTCATACAATTTATTTAGTTTTAGTAGTCGGCCACTCATTAAACAATGGAGTTGATTGCGTTGTTGCGATATCCATTATACGGGCAGTAATTAGATTTAACCAAATGCGGGCTTCGCATTAATAGCGAATGTAAAAACTTAACGAGCAGGATGTTCGCCCTGAATAACCCACATAGCTTGTTTACGAAACGAAAACATCACCATAATTATACACATTCTGTGCAACGAAACACCAGTCACGGATTTAGGTAGGTAGTGCGGTTGCACGGTGCGCTGCGTCGACATGAGTTGTGACAAAATCTCAGATCATAGAAAGAGAATAGATATGAAGTCGCGCGTAACTACAACGAGAACCAGTGTCCCCACATTTCCCCCACCACAGCTCCCACACACACATTCAACTGTGTAAAAGATGACGTTTGTTATTTCAGAAATGGAAGAGAACTTATGTCACATCATTTTTTTCTTAAATTGTACAGAAATATAGTTATTTTTCTAAAACAAAAGACGCCTTAGTTACCCTTTATAACATACATAATTAAAATAAAATACCAGTGAAAGTTCCGTCAAAATAGTTTCAGTCGTTTCGGAGATTATTCGCCATAAACATACAGGCTGAAATTTATCAAATCATTTTTGTTATTAGTGCCGTACTTATGCACTTTCTGTTCAAAATACTATTTTAACATTACAGACACTTAAATTTATTAATTAAAATGTATAGATCAGTAACACTTGATAATTAAAAATCGGTAGCCTGTAATTTGCGAGTGGCTGATTAAAATTCCGTCTGACCGATGGCAGTGGGCCCCAGACACAGGCCCACCTAAACCACCATCGTTAACGGCCCGTTATTAAAAAAGTACGAGACTTTGTCATCAGAGAAGTTAGTTTTTTTTAATTAAAATTATGAAATTGATATTGCCTTTGCTCGCCTCCCAACTCAACCTTGTGAAAGTTTAAATTAATTTTTGAATTAAGCCTAATGGCACTGGTAAACGATTTCTAAGGAAAGAGTTTTCAGCAATCAAAATTTCAATTATTTGATGCTAAAACCCCGTATTAATTGCTTTCGATGTGAACCAGCGTTGTTTGTTCAATTAACGATTTATCAACAAAATTATCAAGTTATAAAGATATTAATTGAACTAACGACATTAGGTATGTTTGTTATTTTAGTAATATTTCATGTATAATTAGGAAAGCTGGTTAGCTAATCACGCAAATAGAGCGAATGGATTTTAATATCATCCGACATAAAAATACATTGCTTTAAAAGGTAATAAATAAATAATAAATTATACCAATTAATCAACTAATTACATAGCACTTAACTAATACGAATATTAATATTTTCGTATTTAATATTTATTTACTAAACGTTTTTGATTCCGTGTAGGTGAGTACGAATTCTCATGCACACATGCATTGCGATTCCCCTAGTGGGATTCAAACCTGCAATATTGGTGTGCGCGAACATCAGCCACCAAGCCACAGAATTAGATACGTTTTACTTAGGACTAATTATTTATTTAATTATTAAAAGTAATTAACGAATTAGCGTTTGCGTGCTATTCTGATAAAAATAAAAAAAACCATCAATCTTTAAGAATAACCGGACATAGAATATTAGTTAAAAGATATAATTTTTAGTTATAAATCAAACATCCTTCTGTATTTTAAGCAATTCGTACTTTACATATCATAAAGTGTACCACTATTACATTCAAGTTAGTGTTCGAAATTATTTGGCAAAACGTCGAGTGTTCACTCAGCCTTATGGGAGATTGGTGTGTGTTTCTTATATTTTAATCAGAGTATTGCTTGTTTGTATTCGGCGCTCGGCCCGCCGTCCAATACCCATTTACGATCGCGACTCGACTAGTGCTGTTCTTCTCGCGATAAATTCTTATCGATAGCGTTTCCACATTGTGAGAAAACGGCTTAATGTTTTCTTTACTATTCAGTACAGCTTTATCACGGAATAAAAATACTATTATACATTTAAACGTTTAAGCGGAGAAAGTTCATTGAATGAAATGTAAACAGATAGGTAACATGTATTTTTAACAGTTTTCCAGAAACTATCAAGTTGTCAAGATTGAAATAAATTCTTATTAAGTAGAGCTTTTTTGAAAGACAGAGATTCAAAAAAGTATAGAGTATTTGTTTAGTTAAAAGCAATAGCTTGTTTGTTAAATGAAATGTTTTATTGAAAAAGTTATCAAGAATAATTGAGTCTCTCATTTTATCGCCGGCCCGTAATAATACATCGTATCCCCAAACGACAATCAAACGTGTACAAAGTCGAGACAATCTACGTCATAAATTATTTTCTGAGAGAAAAGCTCGGGGCGAAACTTAAGCCTGACATAAGTGGGCAATAAACTTCAGCCAATTTGTAGATTCGCATCTGGAGGCTCTTATTAAAGCCCGAAAGTTAGTCCTTTTCATCCATCACTCGTAATACGTGTGTGAGTTATTGTATGAAAAATTGAAGAATAAATTGAGTCGCTGCAGCAGCGGCGAGACATAAATCCCAACTGAGCCCTCAATATTGTTTTAAAGGGGAAGTGGCCATAAATTTTATCAGGGCGGCCCAGAGCCGCCGCGGGCGCCGCCTCGCCACGCTACGGCGCTCCAAGTCGCGCCGCACCGCAGCCGCGTCGCACCGCACCCGCACTGCTCCGCAATTTTCCGCCGCTGCATTCGATGCTCATGCGAATTTGTTGTGTTATTTCTGGTGAAATTGAAATCTTTCTCGTGGAATGCAAGCATCATGAAACGGCAATATCGACTCAAAATAAGCTGTCGGATCGACCAGTTTTCTTAGAACGCAAACGCTAAATATTCTTCTAGTAATTCAACGCGATCAAAAGCTAATGAATATTTATTTAGTTTGTGGTTAATTTGAATCGTAACTGTAATTATTAAACGTTCATTAGACCGCGCTTCAAATTGGTCTAAAACAAGATTCTTGTTGTTTAGTGTTAGTTTATTATTTGTAAACAAGTTTAAGTATCATTAAAATGAGTTTTATTGAAAAATATTGTCAAGTAATTTAAATAAATTTATTATGAACATCGATATTAAAACAGTGGGATTTATAATAAACATTAAAATTCAAGCTCTACATTTATTGAACGTAGTAGATATTTTATCCCGCCATCGTTAATTCGCACTGTTAAGTCAGTGCCGCACGCCGAAGGACATTCGATTTTCCATCACGTCGCATAGCCTAATAGCTGTAACAACGTAAAATACGATTTTGATTACGATAAAGGCTTATGAAGTGTCGCGTAGACGAAGTGCGGTGCGGTACACGTATCTCTACTTACAGCAATAAACTTGATTTTCCGTCGTCTGGCTTTTAGATTGTGAATTTAGATTTAACACAAGTAAAACACTATCCGTAGAATGTTTTGTTCAGTAATAAATCTCAGCGGATATGTAAGACGGTGTCACTAACTATTCGTATTCCTCAACCGCAAAAATAAATATTGGAGGTCGTAAAATATGACCCCGTTACGTTACAAGATTACAACTGGAGAACAACATAGTAAAAAATGTACGCTAGGACAATATTGTGAGGCACAATAAAAAATCGCTTATTTTTATCAATACGATCTGGGTGTCGGACATTTCGCATAAATGTGATATTGCAATATCGTTCGTCCCCTTTTTAATATCGCGACGGACGCTGCCGGGCGGTTTATGGCACAACCCTTGCCGCGTTTTATTCGCGACCTGTTTGTCCTAATATTATGAAAAATTGACGTCAGCAAAACGAAAACGTTGCCTTGCTTACATATTCTCTTTTTTATGTAATTGCATTGTTCCACCGACTTGCGTAAAATGTACAGTTTCTGTAAACATGTTGTCGCTTATTGAACTCGCTAAACTGTCAGATATAAGACCTTGTGACACAATTTGTCAATTGTTAAAATGAGAAGGTTATGTAGTCGTTATGATTCTGCAAATTGTCCCACTGTGTAGAAATATACGCAGCTAAGTTACATCAAAATGATCCCAAAGCTCCTATCGTTCCTAAAAATCCTGCGAAAGAGCTTTATGGCTGCTTTCACATAGGGCGTCAGAAGCGCCACAGCAGCACGACGGCAGAGGATGCCTAATGCCTATACCTTCACATTATAAAAACGCCGCTGCCGCGCTATCAAATTACCCCTAAATATAAAAGCGCATTAAAATATTATTATCCTAACATTACAAGGAGTCAGAATTGGAAACAGATGCTTCAAACTTATCTGGTAATTCCTTTACTGACCAGTTACTGACATTATCTCGTATCAACGGTCTGGTGGCATGCTCACTGTGGCATGATGTGACGTAACGAAACAATACCCTTCAGCGAGAGTGCGCTGATAAAGAGATTAAGCGGTTACTTACTGCTGGCGTTGTCGGGCTTATGCATGGCCGGTGGATCTCGGATCATGGTGGTGTCGTCACTCGCGCTCGCGCATCACACAGCTGTATTATCTGGAACAATCAATAAAAACATTAATGGTGTTACCTCAAACCTACTAAATAATAAAAAAATAATTTAAAAGAACAATCCTAACAAGGTTTTTATAACGACGCTCATAATATTTAGTGCACTTCCTAAACAAACATAAAACGCTGCCCTGTACTAGTTTTGCATTTTTAGCAATTTCCATTGTTAAAGAATCCTAGCTGGAAGCAATAGAGGGAGAGCGGACATGAGCAGCGCCGTACGCGTTTCGTAGCGAAACCTCATTAGAATAAACGATATCCTCTCCTTACGTCCACTCCGCGCGAGACCTTATTACTCCGACAAACTGCCGTCAAACGGCGGGCCCCGCCGCCGATACAAGCTCAAACAACCCTTCCTACAAATACAATAAAGCTCTTTTCCCAACCTCTACATCACTTCCACACAAGACCCTCCAACATTCAACCCTACTACACAATATCAAAGTCTACTTTCAGAAAGCAAAAGGATAACAAACTCGCTATCAGACGGCATCCCTTGAAGGTTGAGACGTCCATGCAAAGCTGTAAATTGAAACTTGAGGGAGGTAGGTATTAATAACTCTTTAGGAGTAGGTTTCGCATGTGTTTTAAATTGACGTCAATTAAAATGTCTACCTACACTTTATTTCCATTGTTTTGCATCGGCTTTTTTGTGGATCTTTTGTTTTGTTTGAGTAAGAACATAATAATAAATTGAAAAAGTGTCCAAATCCAAGTCCAATAAGCTTTTTCCTTTTTATGCTTCACATCATTCAAACTTCAAAATGTAAAAAGTAGGTAATATAGAAAATAGTTCCAAAATCCCAAGCAACAATATACCAATTTCCTTAACTTAGGCTGGGTTGCACCATCTTACATTAACTTTGACAAACGTCGAAAACCTGTCGAACTTCATACAAAAAACACCCGTTAACGTTATAGTTACGGTCAAAGTTATGTGGTGCAACTCAGCCTTAGACTTTGAAGTCTACACAGAAACGCAACATGCTAGACATGTACCTACCCGGACGTGTCGTATTTTGACGATACTCCGCCAATCTAGTCAGCGTGTTTTATTTAGGTGTCCATGAAATAAAGTCTTCGAAATATAGCCGTGCTCGCGACAACTATTAAAATAAATTGGAACACGCAGTGAGCCACAGAATCTCTAATAGGCAGGTCCTTACATGGCTCGATCGCTCGTGCAGCCTGACACTCTGCGCCTATTAGCGACGAGTCAAGACATTCACACCCCTGTGTTAACGACGTAATGGAACCATTTGTATACTGTTTTCGAGTGTTTCAATGTCTGCTGTATAATGAGGTTATTTGATTTTTTCTTATTCGTGTATTGTAAAGGCCAAAAACGGCATGTCTAACACAAACTGAGTTGTATCTTGTGCTAGTTTGCAGAATATTATTTGTTTGTGAAAAAAATTTTTACTGCTCTTCATAAAAAAAAATCTCCTACTTGAAATACTGACTTTACAAAATAATGCAGATTGCAATAATATCCAATGCATCTACTGAAATGGACAAACATCTAAACGTAAACTGTGTGATTTATAAGTGACAACCCTAAAATCTCGGGTATCTATCATTCACTGCAAAACTCATAAAAGTGTAAGCACCGAAAGAGCGCAAACAAACAAATCAACACCGCACAACAAAGTTTAGAGTTCAACATAATTTAATGTAACTCGAATGCACTTCGTTAGCGCGAAACGACCACCGAAGGAGTGTAAACTCATAAATAAAGTAAACGAACTATCAAAGGTCGGAAGCGGTCTATTTATTATCCGGGCCTAGTCGCGTATAACAATCCATCTCTGGGTTATTTGGCGCGATTTATCGTCCGGCCAGCGGCGCCAGCGCAGCTTCTGTATCTCCTGGTTTACATACAGGCTGTGCAAGGAAACGAAGTTAAGATCTTCAACGACTTTTGCTACTGTATACTTCATTAGTAAATCAATTCTGGTATTCATACCAATTAACTTATCTCTACTGATACTTTTGATATAGGTCACAAAGTACGAGTAGAGTTTCTTGGTTGCTGGTGTCTGATGGCGTAATATTGAGCTCTATTTTCTGGAACATCCTATATATTACACGAGCCACTAATGATCCGCTCTGCAGTACACCCGCTCGAAATTGAGGCCATGGGAAAGACATAACTATCTACTTTGGCTAAATATAAAAACAGCAATAGGATATGCAAATGATATTAAAAGGTTAACGAGACATGTAAATGGGTTATGTTGGTGGCATGTCACGTTTTCTAATGACCATTTAGATAAATGTTCATTTAATCATTCGTTGAATTATAATGACAAAGAATAGAAATGAACAGGTGATAAATAACTTTTAAATGATTGTTGAAGTTTTCCGCCTGAAGCCAATTTAATACAATGGACTATAAAGGCAAAAGCATTATAGCCTGACTGATACATTAAAATATGGAAGGTGACATCGATTCATAAAACATTTAGCTGGGATGTTATTCGGTGGAAATAAAAATACATATAAAATAAAAGCGAAATATGCCATCAAATTCAAGCGGAATGAAAAAATTTTTATAACCGCATCGAAATTCCCATCAGCACCTGTTACAAAGGCAGCTATCAAATTACCCGCGACACATCCGCGGCGGAGCGAGCGCGCCTCCATCCATAAATACGGTATTCGTTATGCATTTCTCATATTCATGAATCCGTTTTATTGGCCCCAATAAAATATGAACATCTCAGAATGGATATGAGAGAGCGGGCAAATCTAATATGGATTGCGCGGGATTCGGTCCGATAGGGGGCGGGCGCCCAGCTGCGGCCCGCGGCCCGCGGCCATCCGCCGATCTCTTATCTAAATAAAAATTTTACATTATCAGTCAAATTATGACGAAAAAGGGTTCAATCGCGCAATAAAAAACATTGCGCAAAAACAAAAGTCACTAGGTATCGTCTGGTAAGTTTAATCCGTCTCAGATTACATCTCTCTCGGATGTGTATCTATTACACTGTCCTGGGAAAGATTGAGATCATGCTTTTTACATTTGACCAGCTTAAGTGTAAAAAGTACCTATAGAATAGTTATTTAAATAATGGTGTTTAGATTACCAACAATTGGATCAATTCAATAATAAGTTTGTTTACAATAAAATTATTAGGTGTGTTATAAAATATCTCACACGAAAAATCACTTCAGACTGGAATCCCCCGAGACTATTTTTCAAATGTGAAGGTACCTATGTCGTCTTGTGTCAGCTCCCCTCGTGTAACAACAATTTAAAGGGCTCTACTACCACTAAACCAGCCACAGAAAAGGACAGCTCCTTCTTTTCTTGGACGTGTCAAAAATTCAACAGAGTGCCCGGGATAAGTGGAATGGATGGCAGCGTCTCAGGATCGGATAAAATATTCTATGTCAAATCGTACGTCACTGGCTCTCGACTTTCTCGCCGAGAGTGCTTCACGGAAGTCTCTTATTTATTCGGCTTTACGTCAACCATAACACGCTCCTTTGTGCCCTTTTCGATTTACAGGCACCTATTACGATGCTTTATAACATGAGAAAGTTTGCACCAGAATTAATGTTGTTCAGTCATTAAGCCCGCCGCAGGCAGTAGACAAATGGACGCATCGAACCTGCGCTAACCTCGCGTAATTAAATTTCTAATAATCAGGTTACCATGTCCACAAATACGCGTACATAGTACAGAGTTTACCAATCCGAACGCATTAAAACTAACTCGCGAGAAGAGAAATCCATTAAAGTCATTTCCAGTAATTTGGGGTATGCGGCGGAAAGCCATTTGGGCATTATTGAGGTGGGGCGGGTAGTGTCGAGTGGCGACTATCAGTACCTATCTCCATTATGTCTGTGTTATCGCAGCGATCAATTAAGCGGTATTACGTTAAAATTCACCCCAATAATGAATTACGAGCTTCTGATGGACTAAGTAAGGTAGAAACTTGTGGACATGCCCCGCGTAGAAAATATTTCAGTGAATTTCTACATTTCTGCTTTTGACAAGATTTATGATGTGAATGATGACTGTAAAACCAATTTAGTAAAGCGCAACAATTTGATCCATTAATGTAATCTGTTAGTGACTCCCTTCTGACTCCACACTGATCGAATTCATTATTCACCGGCAGAGAGCAATTAAAGCTCCACTAATCAATCTAAAACTTCAGGCAGAGCTGAACTCTAATCAAGAAAACTCCTATTCCGTGAAAGCTTTCCGAACAAAATTTAACTTAATTAAAAATGTAAATTAAATTCCTAGGCGCTTCCACAAGCATCACGTCGGCCCGCAGCGCCGAGCACTCGGGGCTTTTGATTGCAGCTAAAAGGTTTGGGATTAGTGCGCGAAAGAGCTTTCAGTGCATTTGTAGAGCTTTTAAGTGGGAAGCTTTCGCTTAAGACACTTACATACAATGTAAATTTTATGTGCCATCACCTTGAAAGTGTTTCATGGCATCATTAATGGAACAAATGCTACGGTTCCTTGCTCCGTAGCACTATCCAGTAAATCCGCAATCGTAATGTTTTGAAGAATGACTTTTGTCGGCTGGTGTTTGTTTCGAGGAGGGAATATTTGTGCGGACGAGCAGCGGTCACCGAAGGGGTTGTGGGTGGCGGGCGGCCCTGACCAAGGAAGTTCGGTGTCCGGAAATAAACCGCCCGTAAAATTGACAATTCCGAGGGAGCTGGCTCCTGGGCTCGACAATTTTGAACCGTGCGGCCGCATCCGATCGCCGGACGCTGTGTTTAAAAACCGTCCCACGTCAACACAACATTTTGATCTCCGCGCTTTTTTAACCAGATACACAATCCAATATAAAACTACGCAGAAATAAACAGTGCAATGTATCTACATGGGAACGGCCCAGTCCTCTATTGCATGTCAGCAAAACGTGCATTGCCATCTGGGTGAGCGCCAAAACAATCACTGTTATTCACTACTTAACCCCGCGATGCAGTAAGTACATTAGATTGTTTCGCTT